AGCCTGCGCTATGGCACGCCAAAAGCGATGCATATAAAAATAAGCAATCGCGTAATAATACATGGGAAGTTCTACTCAAAAAATATAAAGAGTTCGATGAGCACGCCACACTAGAAACCGTTAAGAAGAAAGTCAATTCGTTGCGTGCTTCATATAGACGAGAACTACAAAAAGTGCATCGAAGTGAAAAATCAGGCGCTGGAGTGGACGATGTTTACCAGCCGAGCTTGTGGTACTTTAGTGACCTGTCTTTTCTTAATGAAACAGAATCCTCGGTGGATGGAATAAGCACTTTTGATGACAGCCCAGACAATGACATGGTAGGTATTTTAATAAAATTTAATTTTTTATTATTATTTTAATAAAACAAAGGTTTATTGTGCATATTAAGAACATAATTTTATATTAAATTCGATCATTCTGCCAAGGTACTGCTCCAATTGTGTTAAAATATTCGCGAAAGTTATCACGAATTCTTTTGGCATTTTCTGGGCAATTGCCACCTGTCAACGGTTGCAAATCGTCCATTTGATGGTTGTAATGATTGCCTCCAAATGAATTGACTGGATCTGCTGAACCTCGCAAATATACAGCTCCATTTCTCTTCGACAAATAGTTGTGCAAATAGCAACAACATAGAACTATCACCGAAGCCTTTTCCGGCTCTAAAGAAATAGTATTAAGAAGTATTCTAAATCTGGTCACTATTATGCCAAATGCATTTTCCACTATACGCCTAGCTCTTGAGAGGCGGTAATTGAAAATCAGCTCCTCCTTTAGCAATTTTTGACGACTGTATGGCTTCATCAAATTTTGTGATAATGGAAAGGCGTCGTCCCCTACTAGCACATATGGCAGTTCATATGATGTATTTGCTATTTGGCGAGGCTTCGGAATGAATAGTGATTTGTCATCGTAGCGCCTTTTATATTCCGATTGTGCAAATACACCAGCATCTGATGCCCTGCCATTTGCTCCAACTTCCACACAAATGAATTCATATTGTGCATTTACTATAGCCATCAGGACAATGCTGAACGTTTTTTTATAATTAAAATAGAATGATCCTGATGATTTTGGTTTCTTAATATGCACATGCTTTCCGTCAATAGCTCCTATGCAATTTATGAAATTCCATTGTTTTTCGAAATCATCAGCAGTTTCTTTCCACTCTTTTTCATTTCCTGGAATCTAAAAAAAAATATGAAATTCGTTAATAATTGCTAATTTAATTTTTTAGCCGAAGGCGCCGAAACGAAAACCGGATGAATCTACGCAGTTCCTACAGAAAGCAGTAGCGCACTTGGACAACATTAGCGCAAAGCAACAAAGGTGTGAAGCGGACATATATGCAGAAGGGTGGGCTGCCATGTTCAAGCAGCTATCAAAGGAGCAGCAGCTTTTTGCGAAAAAAGGCATAGACGAGATCCTCATGCAAGGGCGCATGAATATGCTGACATATCAAGGGGTGTCAAGCATTGAAAATATTCCTAATAATACAAATTCTAATGGTCAATCCCAGATGCCAGCATCAATGTATTCACGAAAACAAATGTATCGTGAGAGCACTCCACATATGAGAGACTCAAACACATCTTCTTTTTCGTTTAATCAATTCAAAGACAACAAAAATGATTTTATAAAAACCAAAAAAACCGTTTCTGCTACATCCTTTGAAGACTTGTTCGATAGCGATGAATAAACCCATGTAGTACATAATATATATTATAAATAATAAAAAATTTGTTACCTTGATATAAGACTTTAGCATTTTAATTATTGCTCGACATGTTTCAATTATTATGCGCCCTAGGCTCTGGGGAGAAATTCCTGTTAAGAATTTCAGGTCTTCATAACTTTGGCCGCTAGCCAAAAAACGCAAAGTCGCTGAAAGGCGTTCGTTTGCGCTTATTGCCTCACGCATTTGTGTGTCCTGTCTTCGTATTTCAGGCACTACTAAATTTAACAGTTCTTCATATGTAGAACTGTCCATTCGAAGAAAGTTTTTTAAATCTATAGGAGACGTTTCATGCAACTCCTTTAAAAGCTTCGTATGTGTGAATTTTATCCGCTTTGCATACCATTCCTTCATCCACATACTGTGCTTCCTTTTTTTCGCTTCATTTTGTTTTTTCTTTTTTTCTAAGCAAATACTTATTGCCATAAGTGCAATTACAGTGCCGCTGTCGTTGTCCGTGGACATGTTGACAGTTTGAAAATATTTGACAGTTTTATCGAAAAATGATGTTCGCACGAATGTTGGCTCTAGTTAGTGGGGAAAATGAAATTGAAGTAGGCGAACATGTTCGTCGAACATGCTCGCCTGTGGATGGGCCCCTTTATTCAAAATACGATGTAGTAAAAGAAATCCAAACAAAATTATATATTGAAAACAAAGTAATGGAACTACTTCAGCAATTTCCCCAAGCTAAAGTAATTATGACTGATAACGAACCGAGTTTTACCTCGGCTCAATTTAAATCATTTGCACAAAGGTGTGGAATAAGTTTACGTTACGCAGACCCGAGGCACAGTTTTTTAAACGGACAAGTTAAGAGTGCACACTCGACATTAACGGAAATAGCTCGCTGCATAAAAGGATAGTTTAATTTAAATGGCTATTCTGAAACAGTTATTAGAGCAGTCCAAAATATAACCAGACCATTCACTCCACAACCAACCAAAAACCTTTTGATATTCTTTATAATAAAATTGAGCACGAAAATATTCCCATTATATTATAAAATACACAATGTCAAATGTTGGAAAAATCTAACAAAAACAGAAAAGAAAAACAGTATCATGTAGGACAAGTTGTTTATGAGAAAAAACAAGAAAGCAAAGCTAACTTCGGGCGGAGCCGAAGTTGATATACCCTTGCAGCTAAAACCGGATATGTATCGCAAACATCGGATATAGTTGGCCAATACTTATGATTACATCATAATAAAACCAATTAATTAAAATAAAAAATCTAAAAAAAATCCCAAGCTTCTATCTTTAAAAACACGAAAGTTGATATTTTTACCAAATACCATTTCCGATCGTTCAGTTATATGGCAGCTATAGGATATAGTCGGCCGATCCTAATGAAATTTGATAGGTTGGATCAACTGACCAAAAATAGAATCTGTACTAAGTTCCAGCTTTCTATTTTCAAAAACACGAAAGTTGGGTCATTTCCGATCGTTCAGTTATATGGCAGCTATAAGATATAGTCAGCCGATCCCTATGAAATTTGGCATGTCGTAATGTGTTGCCAAAAATAGGTCTCGTGTCAAATTTAAACTATTTATCTTTATAAACATTAAAGTTATACCATTTCCGATCAATCAGTTATATGGCATCTATAGGATATAGTCGGCTGATCTATATGAAATTTGGTATATCGTATTATTTTGCTAAAAGTAGTTCTTATGTAAAAATTATGCTGAACTCTCTAACTCTAAAAACACCGAAGTTATACCATCTCCGATCAATCAGTTATATGCCAGCTACAAGATATAGTCGGCCGATCCGGGCCGTTCCGACTTATATACTGCGTGCAAAGGAAAGAAGGGTGTGTGCAAAGTTTCAAGTCGATTGCTTTAAAACTGAGAGACTAGTTCGCTTAGAAACTGACAGACAGACTGACAGACGGACAGACGGACATGCTCATATGTATCAATTCAGGAGGTGATCCTGATCAAGAATATATACTTTATAGGGTGGAGATGTCTCCTTCACTGCGTTGCACACTTTTGACCAAAATTATAATACCCTCTGCAAGGGTATAAAAAATAAATGAAGGAGGTTTACTTTCCTAGCCTCGGAAAGCTTGCCACAGGATGCCTATGATTGTTCCCATCGTCACCTCGATGCCCTCGACCCGTAACTTCAAAGATGGAAAAATTCGATTAATCATGATAAGTCCGCCCAAACAACATTTACCTTGAGAGGCGACTGTCCACGGATTAGCGTTGGATGCACTGCCATACCACCTAACTCAACCCCTAAATACTTGGGAATAACGTTGGTCAAGCGTCCAACATGGAGGACCCATCTACTGCGAAAACGAATGCAAGTACAGAAAAAGCAGCGGCAGCTTTACTGGTTGATTGGGCGAAAGTCAACCCTGAAGCTGAGAGTAAAACTACTAATATATAAGTGAAGTCAGTTTGGACGTATGGTATCCAGCTTTGGGGCACATCAAGTCCAAGCAATATCAAAGTCATTCAGTTGGCACAGAACAGAGCTCTCAGGACGCTGTCTGGGGCTAATCCTTATAATGACAATTTGACTATTCATGATCAACTGGGCATCTCCACAGTCAGAGCTGAAGTTAGAAGATTCGCCGCTAAATACAAGGACAGGCTAATACGACATCCCAACACATGTGCCACCAATTTGCTGGACAGCAGCACCACCACCACAAGACTGAAGAGGAAGCATCCACTGGATTTACTAAATAAACTTTTTACATTCATAACTTGTATTTATCAAACTCCTATTGTCAAGGTTCACCTAAAAATTTAATCATTGTCCCTAACTGAGGACAAAATGTACATTAAACTTTCAAACGTTAATGCAAATACAGGAATCAATGGAGATGTAGATAGCCAATAGCTTAAATTTTAACATTCCTAAAGAAAAACTATAAATTTTAGTTCCCTATTTCTTAGCCATTGTTGTTCGACATATGCACAGCACGACCCTTTTAGCTGAAATCATGCTGTCGTGTCATTCAGTCGCCGGAAATCTGTAATTCAAAAAACCAAAAACCATCTATGATGGCTGTCGCTATTTTGTTACCGTCCTTCCGTTTTCTGGCGGTCATTCTTATGTCTCTTTTGATGTCGCCCGCTACCGTGCATTCGATTGGCCCGTTAGTGTTGTCTCGCTTACTCGCAGTATCTCTCGATCGTTTTTTTGAAAAGGCTTTCAAAGGCTATCTCTCGAGCTTTTGAAAAGGCTGAACAACGAAACAAGTATTAAGTCTTTCCTTTCGTTTTTTCACTTACCGAATTTATGTTATTGTAAAGTAGCAATCCATTTTCCCATACTTGATCAGAGGAGCAAGAAAGATTTCTTAAAACCAATTTGGTCACATCTAATTGTAAACTATGTAATCCAGACGCAAAAGAATACACCGAATCATACATTAAAGCGGATTCAGTCTATAAATTATAAATTCAAATTATTTATAGAAAAATTTTTTTTCTGATTATTTACCTGAAAATATGGTAATCCATTAATTTTTTCCAGTCCATTGTGTTGAAGCCTTTGCATTTGATCAATGACTTCTACATAAAGCTTGCTATTGACATCTACTAATCGAAACGCTGTAATGTTTACACTATTATATCTGAAATCCTCTAAATCATAGGTTTCCAAATCCTGTTAGATGGAAGAATATAAAACTTTTCTCTTTAACATTTTAGTGACACTTACAAAAGTTGTGAACATATAGTGGTATCGGTGATCATTCATTTGCAATTGTAATATCTAAAAAAAAATTTTTTTTTTGTTTTGTATTTTTTAATAAAATATTTGAATATATATATCTTAATAGAAAAAGAATGAAAGGACGATTATAGTCCAGTTTCTCCATCCACACATTAATTAAGCAATAACTTTAAATAAATTTTTTGGAAAGATAAATGAAAGAAAAGGAAAGTTGCAAGACAAGAGTTCTAGAGTTTTTTATAAATTTTTTTTTTCTTAACAAAATTGCGAATAAAAATTAAAGCAAAAGAAACAAGTTTTCTCATTATAGCTCTGAGTATTAAAAAAGGTGTTGACAAATTAAAATTGAAATTTCTTAACATAGGGACTTATAGGGACAGGGACATAAGTCCGAGCACTGGCAAAGAGGTGATTTAACAAAGAAGGAAGTCTACCTGTTTGGTCATTGAGGGTTTTCAATGTCGTAATCCGCACCAAAATAAAATCCCAAATTGAAAACGTTATAAATGTTTATTTCTGCATGCAGATGAAGCCGGATGATCAGCAGATGGACCAGCTTATGATGCATGCAGGGACTAAATTTTATGTACAGAGAGAGCGGCCCGATTAGCCATTACGAAGCTAAAGATCTCGATAATGTAGAGAGCGGCCCGATTAGTCATTACGAGGCTAAAGCTCTCAACCTGGACATTGCGGAGATAAAACTCTCAGAAGAAAGACCCGCTGAGTCGAGCGGCCGAGAGTGGGTCGGGTTGCGACCAACTAAGCGATTAGTACAAACTTAAGCCAAATAAATAAATATTACACTAAACATTACATTAAAATTATATAAACATCAACATTAAACGCCGTGCTGCCGCCTGACCCGACATTCTAGGTCGGGCTGCACTGCTTTCGCATCACAAATTGTTCTATCTTCGGATCACACAATTTTATCAGAATGCTTAATAAATAAGCTTTAACGTATATTTATTGTTTTGGCTTTTCCCTGGAAATATTATACTTTTGGATGGTCGACCGACTAATCGGTCGATTTTAATTGTTTCTAAATAATTGTTCAATTCATAATCAAATCCTTATTCCCTAATCGTACTTGTCGTCCGCTTTTCTTCAACACTCTCACTTATATATTCCCCCATGGATCTACTAAGTTACCCTCGATACCTCGACGATCGCCTCCGCCTCCATCAAAGCAGCTCTTAGCAGCTCATTTGATATTCGTTTGCTTTGGAATGCAGATGTGAGTGGAATGCACTTCCATGTCATCTGGGGTCCAGTGAACTCGCGTAAGAGTTCCTTGTCCACATCTTTAAACGCCTTACGTTCCACCCTCTTTGTGCCATAAAGCTGGTCACTTCTAAAATACAAGAGTTAGTGGTTAATGAATCGCTACAGGTGAGACAGGTGAAAAAGATGCCATATCGTTTGTTCGGAGTGCGTCTGACCCACATCATCAGAGGCCCAAAGTAGTCCACGCCCGTGTAGCTTAAGAGTCTATGAAAGGCTGCTACTCCAGGATAAGGAAGTTACACTATGCGCGGCAGTTTTGGGACCACCTGGCGGGTTGTGCATCGTTGGCAGGAGCGTCGTATCCGATCAAGGGTGGACCTATTTGGTATTCAAAATTGTTGTCGTTATTCTTTGACCTCGTCTCATGCTAAATCTTTTAGATCTTTAGATCTTAAATCTTCCTTTATGATAAGCTGCGTAATGTAACGCACGGAAGTACGACGCGGTCACGTTCATTCAGTCAAGTACAGCTTCTTATCTCTGCATTTTTTTTCTTCAAGTACTGGGTATAGGGATGCCTGCTGCCTCGATGTAACTATGGATGATGGCGTTCTGGGCAGCTGTCTATTTCGCCGCTTCTTTCTACCTTTCCACCTTGTGGTTTCCACCATGTGGAAATATCTTCAGCATAGGCCACACTGGCGCTTCAGCGATCGCGAGTGTTAAAAATTTAAAGAAATGTTGCGGACCTTTGAAGTTCGTAGCGCCGCCCCAGAAGAGACTTCCGTGTAGATGCTGTTGCATTTATTTATTTAATGTTAACGCTCTTGTAAGGGTTAACAGGCATAAGCCGGTAAAGGCAAAGCAGCAAGGGCAAAAAGTTGTTGGGCACCTTCAATTTCTATAAATTTAATAACTGTACAATTCATAATTAAATCCTAATTCCTTATTGCATAGTCTCACTTTTAATTAGCTTCCCTCGAGAGTCAAAATAGATAAGAAAACTTAGGCACGTGGTTACAAGCTGACCTAACAGAGGCTCAACACCCGGGCTTATTTGATCGATTCTATATTTTCGGCGTTGCCAGATGGCGAGGAAGCAGTTTTACCATCTATTGCAACAGCTGCTGTTTGGTCATTGAGGGTTTGTGAAATTATAAATAAAACGCAGAAATTAGTTAATTTAAATCGTTATAATGTTTATTCCTGCATGCAGATGAAGCCGGATGATCAGACGATAGACCAGCATTTGGTGCATGCAGGGACTCAAGTAAATACAGAGAGGGCGGCCCGACTGGTCACTGCGAAGCTAAAACTCTCGATAATGGAGAGCGCGACCCGACCTAGACACTGCGAGCTAAAACTCTCTATAGAAAGCCCGTTGAGTCGAGCGGTCGAGAGAAAGTCGACTTGCGATCAACTAAGCTTTTGTACAAACTTAAATAAATAGAATCAGAAAATGGAAAATAATAAACAGAAAAATTTAAATCCACGACTATTCAAGAAGAAGATTAAATGTCAGAGTAAAAAGCATTCGCCGGTTAAAGGAACGTTTGGAAGCTGCGTCAGTTCCTTTAGTAAAGACCGAGCTAGAGTGCAGGCTTCAGGTTTTAAATGAGACAATATTTAAGGCAAATGCGTTGCAAGACCAGATCGAGCAATTAGATGAGGAAGATTAATTTGGAGCTGAGATAGAAGAATTAGAGATAACAACTGTAACGACTCCAAATCCTCAATCTAAACAACAGTTCCAAATACGGTATTTCAGCTCCTTTATTAGTCCCGGCACAGCGGGTGTTGCCAGTCAACTAACTCCGATCGAATGGTTAACATTAACACTTTTCTTCTTCTTACGTCCTTCACTTCTTTTGAGAGTGCGCGTCAATCCCATCTCTGCCGTCGCTCTTCGCTGCCGATACGGATCTCCACACCCCTTCTTTTTTTTCCAGACGTAGCTTCAGGTTCTCGTTTGGGTCAGGGAGGTCCTTTGATGCCGGAGCTTCCTGTGGCGTCAGAGTTTCGGCAACCGGCTGTAAAGGAATAGCTGAGGGAGATAAGATGAGTCTAGCTCACCGAGTTAGACGATTTCGATGAGTCTGCGCCGATGATCTTTTTCAAGTGGCTTAAATTCCTAGTATACGACTTACCACCACCAGAAATTTGAACAACATTTCCCTCTCGGTTAGTTACTTCATATGTGGTCGTATCGAATGTTGGCGTCAGCTTATTTGGGAATATTTCGTTTTTTAGGAGAACTTTGTCACCTACTTTTATATCGATCACTCCCGCTTTCCTAGCGTTGTCGGCTAACTCTTTCCCTTTCTCTTGCTTCCAGACGTCCCTGTCTCTCTCTTCTGAATCAACCGTTTCGCCCACGAGGTCCTGTATGCCAGGAATTTTGTCCCTTATCACTCTGTTAAACATTAGCTGTGTTGGTGGTGCGCCCGTGGTCCCGTGTGGAGTGACGTTATACATAAATACAAAATTTTTAAATTCGACGCTGACAAATTGCCTCCCATTATCAGTTGTTAATGTTTCCGGGAATCTCAATCTGGAAAAGATCTCTTCCATTTCCTCAATAATTATTTTCGATGATATCGACTTGATGAGTTTGAATTCCATATACCGCGAGTAATAGTCCATTAATACGAGTACATCCTCACCATTTGGTGAAGGGCCCAAAAGATCGGTCGCTACGCATCTCCAGGGTTCATTCGGAAACGGATGTCTTTTCATGGGGGCCGGATTTGATAGCATTGATACTAACAGGCAATCGCGGCACTCCTTAACATACTGTTCTGTGTCCTTGTCCATACACGGCCACCAAACTTTGGAACGAAGCCTCCGTTTCATAGCGCTTATCCCGGGATGCCCTTCATGAGCGAGTTCAAGTACTGGTCCACGTAACTTCCGCGGAATTACTAGTCTTGTGCCCCGCAATAGAATGTTTCCCACAATCGAGAGTTCTAAACGAAATGGATAGTACGAGCTAGACATATTTGAGTTCCATGAGTCCTGACCAAGGCATGCCATCACGTCTATTATTTCCTCATCCTGGGTGCTCATCTCTGTGATCTTCCGTTTCATCAAAATATGGAGAGCGATCTAGGAATTGAGGTTGACACTACGCGAAATATGTGATCCTCACCAGCCCAGTCATAAGGGTCTGCATCGGTTACTTCGCAAAGTCTTAATAGTGAGTCGGCAATATTCTCCTTTCCTGCCTTATATACCACACGGAATCGGTAAGATTGTAATCGCAGCAACCACCTTTCAATCCTGGCCGGGGGTCGCAAAGTTGGTTTAAAGATTGATTTAAGTGATTGATGATAAAATTTTTCCACCGCCCACACCAATGCCAGGCTTTCTTTTTCTGTTTGTGAATATCTTTTTTCCACCGACGACAAACTCTTACTAGCAAACGATATTATGCGTGCAGTATTCGATTTATCAAATTGCACTAACACTGCTCCCAAGGCCACTGGGCTGGCATCTGCGATCAAACACGTTTTATCCTGCAGGTTAAAATATGACAGCATTGGAACTGTGGAAATCTTAGCTTTGAGATTTTGGAATGCTTCTTCCTGTGGCTGTGGACCAACAGAACGTTTCATGGCTTTTCAGTAATTTCCTCAAAGGCTCTGTATTATCCGCCAGATCAGATACAAATTTCCCAAAGTATGTGACTAAACCGAGGAAACTGCGTACCTCTTCTTTATTTTTGGGCGCTCTAAGCGTTGTAAACACCTTCACTTTCTCGGGGTCAACTTCGATCCCGTTGTCCGAGAGGATATGACCTAGAAATTTCA